AATTAGCCTAAAAACATTAATTTATATACAGGAGCAAGTGGTTTAGATTGAAATCCATCCGACAGATATCAAATAACACTATGCTAATGTTAATATACGGCATTGTACTTAAACCTCATAATTATAAATTCACGGACCTTTATGGTTGTTAAACTTGGTTGATACTTTATTTCGTTAAAGTGGGACTTTTCATTATCCCACTTATGGTGTGTGGCCACATGCCATTTTTATAACAACAATAAAAAATTGAAGTTTTAACTTTATAATTTATAAATTAAAAACTTTTCATATGATTTTGTGTTATAATATTGTGAAATATAAAAAAATAAATTAAAAAACTGATAGAAATATTAATAAATATTAATTAAGTACTAGGAAATGCACATGCTAGTTAATGTCCCACTTTACTGAATAAGTCCCACTTTAACGAAATAAAACATGTTGTTAAACTTGCTTAGTTCCTGCTCAACATGCGGCTGCTTCTCCATCCAAGACTGATCAAATTCCGTATCTGGGCTTGAAAAAATCTCCACAAGAAACTCTTCATCCATTTCCTCATTGGAATCAAACCTATAAATCCCTCAAGGCTACCACTTTTCAATCATGTTTCTTTCTCTCCAGGTCTTCTGTTTTTCTTGTGTCTCTGCTTGAGAAAACCCTTTCCTTTGCCCTTCTTCTTGCACCTCAAGCATTCTCTCGTTCGTGGAGCCACATTTGGCAGCAAGGTTGCTGGTGGTATCCATGTGTCTCAGCTCAGAAGCATCATGAAGATGTCCATGGAAAAATACCACACTTGATTGCTTGGGCTTTTTCCTTGTTCTTGGACTCTCTTGTGCAAAACAAATGATGAACTAACAAAAGAGAACTTGGAAAAATACTTTGATATTCTGCAAAATTTTGAATTTGCATCAGCATTAGTGCTAGGCCGAGCTTGGCACTTTTTTGTTGCATGTTCGTGTCCACTTCACTCGACATTGAGATAACGGACTTGGATTCAACCGGGCCTTGATCATCATCAGGGCGTCCAGGCCATTACATCCCACTGATGGAGAAGGTGTTCGCCTTGGTGGACAGCTTGTGGGATATCTCGGTTCCAATGGTGGTCCTCGTGAATGGGCTCACAAGGTGCGAGTACGAGGTATTGTCTCCATCAACAGCAGCATTGAACAGTTTAATGGTCGGCCTGATGCAGAAGTTTTGACAGTTCACGACTTGGAGTTTGTCAACCGGCCACCATGTAATCTCTACCGTGCATCTCTTCAGTGCCAGCAGCTCAGCCAGGTGGCATCTTAATAACCAATCGATAAAAGGAAATTTTCAATTCGTACAGGCAAAAAAATCCGATCGAATTGCTTTAGACAACTCAATTGTATTATTATTCTTCGCAAGCACCTGTGATTCTCGTTCTTTCAAAGAAAAGACTCTTAAGAAAACTCTTCGACATAGACAGATCTTTGATATAAGCCTTCACGATCTGTCATTCCCAATAAGCTTGTGCCACTTGGACGCAAACTCTGTGGCGTTGCCCAACGAAATGCGACGGGCGACGCTTGCTCTCGATCATCTGGAGCTCTGCGTGGATGTGATGCGTCGCATCCCCACAAAGACGATGGAACTGTCCCCGCTTGCTCCTTCTTCACTCCTCACAACTCGGCCACCTTATGAGGTTTCATTCCCACGCCATCTTCGATCTCATCGGGCGATCTCCTGGCTCCTGGCTCCTGGCTTGGCATTTCGATACACCAGCAGCTGAACCACGCCCGCAAACTTCTTCCCGCTCGCCGCATAGATGCTCCACCTCTAGTCTCCAATGCGTTGACCGGTGGCAGATTGCCAACGCTGGCGTTGACCAGGAGGCGCTGGTTCACGCACACGCCTCCGTGTTCTCGTCGAAACCTGCGCACCGGTGGTGGATTGCAGTGTAGGGCGCCTCCGAATCAAGCTTGGGCTTCATGCAGCGCCAGACAACGCCGCAGTGCGGTGGCATGCCAAAGCGGATGGGATGCACCTTGACACGACCGGGGAACGCTGTGCCCAGCTCCACGATCGCCGGAGGCACCTGGGGCCGGAATTCAGGCGGCTCCTCAATGCACACAATGCCTGTTACTTCGAGCTGCGTCACACAGCTGCTGCTCACCACCAGCTCCTGCACAAACTCGATCTCGTCACTGTCCCAGCACGGCACCCGCTTGTTCGAGTAGGAGGTGTCAATGTGCACGCGCAGTGGCGCGTGCCTGCTGCTCCACCCCGCAAGGCTCAAGCTCTGAAACACAAAAACGAGTCCCAAGTTTGTAACTGGTACACAATATGGATACGATCCTTGAGAAAAAAAAATATATGTACCTTGATGGTGAGACGAGCAATGTAAAGCGCCTCCAGGCCATGGAACGGCTCCAAGAGCTGTGCGAGGTTAACGGATCTGGGCTCGAAGTCGGCCGAATCCATAAACAGGTCGAGCTGCTTGATGCCACTGATGCTCGACGTCCTCAAAACAAACGGCTCGAGAATTAGCTCGACGTGGGCATTGCCTCGGAAGGTATTGGTGACCGTGAGCCTGTTGAGCTTGGACATGACCAAGCCCTGGATGATTCGCACTTGCCCATGCAGCTGCACCCATTCCACGTTGCACGTAGACGGCGAGAGCTCCACGCGGGGTACCGCGTTGACAAACATCCACCGGAGCTTGGGCATGTCGAGCGCGAGAGAAAATTTGGTAACGCTCCTGCCGCGGACCCTGCTGGCGCGAATCACCAGGCAGTCGAGGCTGTGACTCTTGAGCAAATGCGTCCCAGCAGACTCCACAAGCAGCTGGGTCAGCCGGAAGTAGACGAGCGAGGGGCACAACTCGAGGAGCTGCGTCGTTGTGGCCACGTCCAAGCGTGTGCGTATGAAGCAGTAGACAAGCGCGGGAAGAATTGGAGCCGCTGCCTTGGTCGTGAGCGGGCCACCAAGCTCGACACCATCGTTGATATGGAGACACCGTAGCTGCTGGCAGGCGAGAATGCTGGACCAGAAACCATCCACACTGACGCTGATGGTAAGGGAGTGGAGGGTTTTTCCAATCACCGGTAGCCAGTCAAGACAAGAGCGTGGCTGCTTTGAAAAACCTGTCAAAGACAGGGAGCGGAGATTGCTGCTGCTGCTGCTGCCAAACCAGGAAAGGAGACCCTGTTGCTCATGCTCACCGGACGATTCCAACCTGAAGTGCGAGACTAGCCTTGCCAGACGCGCCCACCTCTTGCTCACCAGGCTACACCAATACAATTGGCGCGAGGAGGCGAGCAGGGACAGGATCCGGATGAGAACGTCGTCGGGAAGGTCGCCCATGGAGCACACATTGTTGCGCCTCTCGGCGATCCTCATCCGATCGACCAAGAAGAGCAGCTCGCTGTGCTGAATCTCGTCCGGAAGATCATCCAAGGCGCTCCTCGGCCTTTTCATCCCAGTGCCCTAAAATCTTGCCCTAAAATCTTGCCCTAAAACAATTAAGTAGCCTCGAGGAATTTATAGGTTCGATACCAGCGAGGAAATGGATGAAGAGTTTCTTGAGGAGATTTTTTCAAGCCCAGACATGGAATTTGATCAGTCTTGGATGGAGAAGCAGCCACATGTCGAGCAGGAGCTAAGCAAGGGGCTGCCACCACCGCAGACCTATATTCCCCAACAGCAATATGAATCTGGAATAAGCATGGATGGGGCGCGCACAAACACTTTCAGTGAATGATGTGTTGCAACACTTTTTTTTAAGGCAGAGTGTAATTTAAATTTTGCAAAATTTATAAATTTGTGAAGAAAAAACAGCTGGCGAAAATATACATTGCCACCGCAAGCACATCTATGGAATCACAATGTTATTGGAGCTATACTACAACTACAAGATTTAATTAAGTAACATCTTTGACACAGGCAAGAGCTATTCCTTTAACACTAACATTGGCCTTGATCTCAAGACTTCGCCACCTCAAATGAAAATCATTTTTAAGCAGCTTTTTGCCACGTCATTGTTTGAATGCTACGTGGATAAAATCCGGCGGTGAGCATTGAACGCCGCGGATTTTGCCACGTAATAGAAAAATTTATATAAAAATGCTTTGTCAGAAGTGGGGTTCGAACCCACGCCCTCGGTAGAGGACCAGAACTTGAGTCTGGCGCCTTAGACCACTCGGCCATCCTGACTGACTCCCGTTCAATCTCAACGTTACAATTGCCTCCAACGAATGATTGGGCTGAGTTAAAAGCGACTATAGATTCCTCTTTTTATTCCCTCCTCCTCTAGGGTTTTCTCTCTCTGCGGCTACGCGATGGGCCTGCCGCTTCCTCCCTCTCTGGCGGTCGCCGCCGCCGCAGCGATTGCCGCCGCGGAGGCCAAGCACCTCCAACAGCAGCAGCAGCAGCGCGCGCCTCTGGAGGAGGAATTCGACGCGATGGACGAGGGGGATGATGATGAGGAGGAGGAGGAACAGGAAGAACAGGAGGAAGAGGAGGAAGAGGAGGAAGGGGAGGAGCCCGAAGCGTATGATTTCGAGGAGGATAATCAACAACAGCAGCCACAGGCGGCGCCGCGAGAGGAGGTCACGCTCATGTGGCTAGGGTTCCAAGTGACGATGAATTCTTCGCGAGATTCCCAGAGCGAGAAGGAAGAGGAAGCGGCCTCGGAATCATCCGCGGCCCCAGAAGCAGCGGCATCGGCAGCGATTTGAGGAAAGGAAAGAAATTTCTCTCGTTGAATCCCTCTTTTCGTCGCGGCGGCCATGGCTGTGTGCTTGCTTTTTGTTCCATCTAGAGAGCATTTTCTCTCCAATGTAACAGCGCGGGGTTCGATTCTCTCGTGTAGCAAGAAAAAATTTGTACTGTGGGGTCAGACGGCCAGGATTGGGCCACGTTGACGCGGGGTCAGATAAATGGTTTTTCTTTTCAAATGTTTCTTAGTCGCGCATCTAACGGTTGTGACGGCGCCACGCAAGTGTGAGTGTGGTATATTTTGGGAATATCTCGAGTTTTTCTCTATCGTAAAACCTCTTGGGTAAAAACGTTATTTCTTTTGGGGTGTGTATAGCTACGCGCCTAGCGCTGCAAGTATTTTGCCGGCTGCGCAAGCGATAGATAGCGCTAGGGCATCGCGATTCGAGCGCTCCGCCAGGGACTCGAGGCGCCATCGCCAATCCAGCTCCCGGAAGAAGGCGCAGCGACCTCGGCGAAATCGAGCAGCGAAATGGCTGCGGTTGGGGTTTTGGAATCGTCGTGATCAGATCAGCGCTGATGCCAGGTTCTTGTAGCTAGCCAAGCTCCCGAGCTTCCTAAATTTTGGTGTTTTGTCCAAGAGCTTGCAGATCGCCGCCGTGATTCATACACCAGAAGCTGGGGCTGGATCCCAAATCCGCTGTGAATGAATCGATCTGGCGGCATGGAATGGGTCTAGCCTAGTCTAGAGCGGGGTTTGCAAGGGGGCATTTCTTCGATACAGGCGTACGATCTCTTGCCAGGTATGAAAAAGAGATGGAGAAACTTCTTTCCGGTCAAGAGCTCTTCATCAAAGATCGACAACTCTTCCGGCGGGGACAACAAGCCCTCCAGCAATCCATCGCCACTCCACAGCAATGGTAGAAGCCAGGGATATGTAGCACAACAAGGAACAGTGGCTGTGCCGCGATGGAGTACTCCCAATGACGTCATGAACTCCAATTCGATCACTCTTGGGATGGTGATGGGCAGCAAACAGGATCTTAGACACCTTCCTGGGTCGCCTGTAGATGGGCCGCCTGCGAATTCCTCTTCCGGATTTGAGCACTTACCTTCGTTCAAGGACGTGCCTAGCTCGGAGAAGCTGGCGCTGCTCGGGAGGAAACTCAAGCTTTGCAGTGTTCTATCTGACTTCACGGATCCCTCGAAGAACATCAAGGAGAAGGAGGTGAAACGGCAGACTTTGGTCGAGACGGTGGATTTTATAGGCTCTCCAGGGAACATCAAGCTCAACGAGGTGGCGTACGAAGAGATCGTGAAGATGGTTTCGGTGAACTTGTTCCGGTCATTGCCACCTTCGCCGCATTCTAGCTCTGTCTCCGAAGGGCATGATCCGGAAGAAGAGGAGCCAACCATGGATCCGGCATGGCCTCATCTCTCACTCGTCTATGAGCTCCTCCTGAGATTTGTTGCGTCACCGGAAACGGATGCAAAGCAGGCTAAGAGGTACATTGATCATGCATTCGTACTGAGGCTGCTGGATCTCTTTGATTCGGAGGACCCGCGCGAGAGAGATTACTTGAAGACCATCCTTCACCGGATTTACGGGAAGTTCATGGTCCACCGTCCATTCATCAGGAAGGCTATCAACAACATTTTCTACAGGTTCATCTTTGAGACGGAAAAGCACAATGGCATTGCCGAGCTTCTTGAGATCTTGGGGAGCATAATCAACGGCTTTGCGCTGCCACTCAAGGAAGAGCACAAGTTGTTTCTCGTCAGGGCGCTGATTCCATTGCACAAGCCGAAATGTGTGTCACTCTACCACCAGCAGCTTTCTTACTGCATCACTCAGTTTGTGGAGAAAGATATGAAGCTGGCGGACACGGTGATCCGGGGCTTACTCAAGTACTGGCCGATCACTAACAGTCAGAAGGAGGTGCTGTTTCTTGCCGAGTTGGAGGAGGTTTTAGAGGCGACTCAAGCACCAGAGTTCCAACGCTGTATGCTGCCGTTGTTTCGGCAAGTCAGTCGCTGTCTCAACAGTTCGCATTTCCAGGTACATTTTGGTGTTTCCCCTTGGTTTCTTTTGGTTTGCGGTCTGATTTGCTGGTTTTTATAGGTGGCGGAACGTGCTCTGTTCTTGTGGAACAATGATCATATTATCAGCCTGGTGACTCAGAACCGTCAAACAGTGCTGCCTCTCGTGTTCTCAGCATTGGAGAGAAACACCAGGAATCACTGGAACCAGACCGTGCACGGGTTAACTGTCAACGTACGGAAGATGTTTCTGGAGATGGACAAAGATCTTTTCGACGAGTGTCAGCGCAAGTATCTCGAGGAAGAGGAGAAGTCAAAGGGCCTGGAAGAAAAACGGGAGAACAACTGGAAGCGGTTGGAAGCAGCTGCCGCGTCTAGGATCGAGGCTACGGGTGGTTCGAAGACCAACACGCTTGGTTTGCCGCTGGGTGTGATAGCTGTTGCTGGAAGCTGAGCAGGCCAGATGGATCCTCGTTCAGTTTCTTCTTCAGCGAGCTCGCGAACGTCCCAGGTATTTTGCCACGGGCGTTTTGCGTCGAGAGAGATCTTTGTGCTTACTCACGGGATCGTGTATCTATATTTACTAGCGCAGCTCCTTATGAGGTGGAGGATCAGCGACACGACTTGAGAGTGTGTTTCAAATGAATCAAGGGGCTGTTTCTTGTATAAAGCAGATTTCTCTTACTTTATTGTGTATTTTTCCAGGCACATTTCTCGAAGTCTTGAGTCTTGAGTCATGGTGACTTTGTGTGACGCTTGACCCGTCCCTCTCGAGTGAAGTGTTCTGGTAAGTTGTCTCATTTATTTGTTTGTTTGTTAGTTCTTGACATCTTGCTCGTACTTGTGTCAGGTGCCGTGCGTTTACAAAAGTTTTCGAGATTTATTGGCTCGAATGGGATGGCTGAGCATCACTTGCGATGGAAGATCGGCATCAAGCAGCAGTGGTTAAAGCTAGAGCATCCCCGAAAGAAAAATGAAGACGAAGAATTTCAGGTACAGTGAGATTCGGAAGCTCTCTTGTTACGACGACCACTTTATTGCGAGTATAGCGAGAGCAGCTGCTAAAAGAGGTACATGGTTTGTAAGACACAGGGATCCGGAGGAAGCCGCAGCAAATGTAGTGCCCGGCGGCAGCTGCACAGCTGTTGCGTATTGACGCTCTCGAGGATCAATAAGTCGAGGTGGTGCTGGAGGTGGTGGTACATCGTCGTCCGTATCATAACAGTAACTCAACTGCTGATGACGGTGATGTTCTGAGGACACACAGCGTTAAAACAAGGTTTTGAGAAACTAGTCTGTCCCTGCTTTCGTTTCTCACCTCTATGGGTTTGGACAAGAGTTACTGCTGCTGATGCTGCTGGTGCTGTATCTGGCCAGGAGAGAGTTGAGCTCTCGATCGCTAGAAACTGAACCACAGGTACGTACCTTGTTTGCATTGAACTTGTAGTTGTTCCATCTCACATTTTGCTGGCAGATCAACCGGGACAAAAGACTTGGTGGCGTTGAGAAGCACGTCGCAGGTGCAAGATTCGGCAATTCCCTGGAGATTGTCGCAGCAGGCCTGTGTCGGCCAGTCGTGCGGAGATTGGGAACACGGTTGCAACATCAGTGTTACTTGCTGGATGCTACACGCTCGTGAGCCAGCAACTGCAGCAGCAAGAACGAAGGATAGAGTGGCGACGAGTGTCAGAGCCATGGAACGCCTTCACTTGCAGTCGTTCCTTTTTAAGTACAAACAAGACGTGAATTCCTGGGGTCGCAAAGCATCAGGTGCAACACAAGCGAGGTTCCAAGCGTACGAGGGTCTGTTAAAAAGTGATCACTGTTTGATTGTAATCGAGCTTATTTCCAGGACGAACAGCTTGGTCAAAGTGATCTCCTCTCGATCTTCCTGAGGTAAGCTTGGCAGATATCAACGATTTCCTATTTCTTGCAGAGACGCACACCTTCGTGTATTGTCTCCATCGACAGTTCAATGGTCAGCCTATGGACATCGATCGGCTTTTGACGCAGAAGTCTTGAAAGTTCACGACTTGGAGTTCGCCAACCGGCCACAATGTAATCTCTACCGTGCATCTCTTCGGGGCCAGCAAGATCAGGAGGCGACGCCATGGTAGCTGCCACTACCTCTAGTCTCCAATGCGTTGACCGGTGGCACCAGGAGGCGCTGGTTCACGCACACACCTCTGTGTTCTCGTCGGAACCTGCGCACCGGTGGTGGATTGCAGTGTAGGGCGCCTCCGAATCAAGCTTGGGCTTCATGCAGCGCCAGACAACGCCGCAGCGCGGTGGCATGCCAAAGCGGATGGATACACCTTGACACGACCGGGGAACGCTGTGCCCAGCTCCACGATCGCCGGAGGCACCCGGGGCCGAAATCCCGTGTCATGGAAAAACGCGAACGTATAACTAGCTGCTCAATATCCCGACAGAGATCAACAAGGCACGAGTAGCTGTTTGTCTTCGATTTTGTTTGCGAGCTCGTACCATCAACTAAAGCCTTGCATGCAAGCATTGAGAACACCACCCGAAACAATGCGGTAATGGAGTCCACAGTCTGTGCACTCCCTTGTAAGAACTGGATAGAAGATAATTATTTCTTACCAAGAGCCCGATCGGCTTTCAGTCATTTTAGCCGCTAAGGCGATCAGAAGGTTGTATTGATGTTCGTGCGTGTATGCTCGAGCATGTACACAATCTGGAAAACCGAAAGTTACTCACGAGACCAATAGCTAAAACACTTACGTTTGTCAAGAGCAGCTGTTGGATCCAGTCCAAACCTTTCCGCGATGGGAATGATTCGATCGGGACGGCTGCAAGCATCGTTTAGAATTCACAGCAAAGAAATTAAAGGAAAACGATCATACAATGCCATCTTGGTGTCGATGTCCACTTTTTACCATTAACTTCGTATAAGCCCAACGGCAGATGCTCGGCTTGCGCGAGCTGAGTTTTGCCAGTCCGGAATCGTTGCTCTCGCATGAGGAGGAGGACCTTTGAGACGATTGACAGGCGTCAGTCTTTAGATCGGTCTCTCGGCCTTCGAGATAACTTGTTCTTCCGGAATCAATGCCGGGGATGTGAAAAAGCTCCAGGACGCAGGAAGTCATACATGCAATGGACTGCAAACAAAGAAGGTGCGAATCGATTGATCTTTTCTTTTTCCCTTATCGGATTTTCTTCTATCTGCCAGAGCTTAACGGGATTGTCCGAACCAAAGGTCGACAAGACGGCAGAAAAGATAGTGGTAAGTGCCTTGGATCGCTTATTGCTATTTTCCAGCAAGTCGGCTATCTCACTGGGAATGAGGCTCTTCAAAGCGAAAATCCGTGACACTGGGAGCCAGCTTTTGGATGATCTTCTCGGTGGTATGCTTCTCTCTCTCTCTCTCTCTCTCTCTCTCTCTCTCTCTCTCTCTCTCTGTGGCGAACTTACATGGCGGCCGCGACCGGGATGTTCCTCATCACTGAAGCTCTGGGCAGGAAAGTAACCTTCAAAATGTGGCGGGAACGTGAACTTCTTGAGCTTGACAGGCCCTGGATGGTCCCCACGCCCCTGCTCTGCTTGATCCACTCGACGGCATGTAGACGGCAAGAGCTCCACGATTTTGTGGAAAACAACAGCTGGGAAATAAAAAATTTGCTAGAGTACATCTCCGATGCTGAGATAAGAAAGTGCCATGCTGAGATAAGAAAGTGTTGCGACCGCAAACGCATCTATGGAATCACGAAGAAGTTATGGAAGCTATACATACTCACGTCTACAAAGTCTAAACTTCTCTAGTAACTTCCCTGACACAGACAAATGCTATGTCTTCAACACCGAATCAACTTTGCCACCTCAAATGAAAATCATTGTCAAGCAGCTATCGATGCACTCGGTAACACAACAGGACCAAATGTCTTCGATCATCAAGGTATTTAATTTCTACACAGTTTCTTCTTTTAAGTTTTCCTTTGTTTAGAAAAAGACACCAGGGAAGAAAAAATCCGTTGAGACAAGAAAGAGTTGCTTCCGAAAGCTATGGAATCATGAAGAAAATATGGGAGCAGACACATACTCATGGGTACAATACTTGATTTATCCTGTTACTTCCTGGACATGGTAAACACAAACATTGGCCTTGGTCTTGAGTCTTTGCCATCTCAAATGAAAACTATTATCAGGCACCAATCGATGCGTGCATGCAAGACTTGTTATATCAATTGCTTTCAAACCTAATCTCATATGATAATGCTTGAGAAATGATGAATGTGAATTTTGAACTCTTATAAAGTATGAAATTCCAAATTGTCTAAACTTTGCAAACAAACAGTAGAGTCCAAGCTTATCATGACAATATTCCATATATTCTAGAAAATGCCTTTATTGAGCATTTGATTTTTCACTTATTTCCTTCAATAGACAAAGATACATTTGTTATAGCTTCTAATAAATCTTTTAGAATGGGATTACTGCTACTGTTTTGGGAACAAGAGCCACAATCTTTTAGACCATATGGTTCATCTAGATACTCTTCCATAGTCACATAACCATCCTCCTCTACATCTTTGTCTTTGATATTTTTTCCCTTTTATTTGAGCTCGTTACTAGAAGTTGGCTTAAACTATTGGCCACAAGCGTGTGGATGAAATTTAACCCCATTGGCTAGAACCATAGACCTAGAGCCTTTCTATAGCCAAATCTTTACTTTATAAATTGAGTAAGATCCCTTCTAAAGCACCATACAATCTGGAAAACCCTTGACCTACTCCATGGAATAAGGAGAACAATTGATAGAGCCATATGAAAGAAGAATCAATGCAATGAAATATAGAAAAGAAGTTATTGTCTACTAGAGGATGGACAACACTCCAATCTTTGAATAGTTCAGTCTTCCTGCCATGACGAACAACATACATTAGATAGTTTTGGCCCATCCTTGGCCCATCCTTGCTCATCCAAAACCCTAGATTTTCAATTTTTCACTACAATAGTTAGTACTTGCCTATTGACAAACTCTAAAAGCTTAGCTTATTTCTAAAGTTATAAAAGAAAATTTGGCATTTATATGAACTTATCTACTTTGTTAGCACTACCTTTCAGTTTGCTATTGCCTTTTAGTTTACCAGCAATTTCATGTTGCTATCTATAAGACAATCCTTGCACTTGTAGCTTTAGTAGGTTGAGTTCACATATTTATAAGATGGTCAAATGAAATTTTGGCAATTGCTATTAGTTGTAGTGCCTTATGTTTTGTTAAAGACCTTCCATAGTCCTTGCAGTTGGTTCAACTTACACTACAGTGCTATAGATGAGCAGTCATTAGATTCCAGGGAATATTTATGAATAATATTCCAGGAATATCCAACTATATACACACAGTCTTGACTTGGAGTTAGCCAACCGGCCACCATATAATCTCTACCGTGCATCTCTTCAGTGCCAGCAAGCTCAGCCAGGTGGCATCTTAATAACCAATCGATAAAAGGAAAATTTCAGTAATACCTTTTTAAGCAAAGACATGGACAACTCATTGTATTATTATTCCTCAGAACAACCCGTGATTCTCGTTCCAAAGCTACGTTTTCAAAGAAAAGGCCCTTAAGAAAACTCCACCTTCAAGTTCTTTGACGTAGACAGATCTTTGATATGAGCCTTCACGGATCTGTCATCCTCCTCCCAACAAGCTTGTGCCACTTGGACGCAAACTCTGTGGCGTCGCCCAAAGACATGCGACGGGCGACGCTTGCTCTCGATCATCTGGAGCTCTGCGTGGATGTGATGCGTCGCATCCCCACAAAAGACTTTCGATGGAACTGTAGCCGGGCTCTCTCCTCCTTCACTCCTCGCAGCTTGGCCACCTTCTGCTTCTTCCCGCTCACCGTGTAGATGCTCCGAGCGCGTAGCTGCCAGTACCTCTACTCCCCAATGTGGCAGATTGCCAACGCCGGCGTTGACCAGGAGGCACTGGTTCACGCACACAACTCCGTGTTCTCGTCGAAACCTGCGCACCGGTGGTGGATTGCAGTGTAGGGCGCCTCCGAATCAAGCTTGGGCTTCATGCAGCGCCAGACAACGCCGCAGTGCGGTGGCATGCCAAAGCGGATGGGATGCACCTTGACACGACCGGGGAACGCTGTGCCCAGCTCCACGATCGCCGGAGGCACCTGGGGCCGGAATTCAGGCGGCTCCTCAATGCACACAATGCCTGTTACTTCGAGCTGCGTCACACAGCTGCTGCTCACCACCAGCTCCTGTACAAACTCGATCTCGTCACTGTCCCAGCACGGCACCCGCTTGTTCGAGTAGGAGGTGTCAATGTGCACGCGCAGTGGCGCGTGCCTGCTGCTCCACCCCGCAAGGCTCAAGCTCTGAAACACAAAAAGAGGAAGTTCTGGTACACAAATATAGATACGATCCTTGAGAAAACCAATATGTACCTTGATGGTGAGGCGAGCAATGTAAAGCGCCTCAAGGCCATGGAACGGCTCCAAGAGCTGTGCGAGGTTAACGGATCTGGGCTCGAAGTCGGCCGAATCCATAAACAGGTCGAGCTGCTTGATGCCACTGATGCTCGACGTCCTGCAAACAAACGGCTCGAGAATTCGCTCGACGTGGGCATTGCCTCGGAAGGTATTGCTGAGCGTGAGCCTGTTGAGCTTGGACATGACCAAACCCTGGATGATTCGCACTTGCCCATGCAGCTTCACCCATTCCACGTTGCACGTAGACGGCGCGAGCTCCACGCGCGGTACCACGGTGACAGACATCCACCGGAGCTTGGGCATGTCGAGCGCGAGAGAAAAGTTGGTAACGCTCCTGCCGGGGACCCTGTGGGCGCGAATCACCAGGGAGTCGAGGCTGTGACTCTTGAGCAAATGCGTCCCGGCCGACTCCACAAGCAGCTGGGTCAGCCGGAAGTAGACGAGCGAGGGGCACAACTCGAGGAGCTGCTTCGTCGTGGCCACGTCCAAGCGTGTGCGTATGAAGCAGTAGACGAGATTGGGAAGGATTGGAGGCGCTGCCGTCGTCGTGAGAGGGCCACCAAGCTCGACACCATCGTTGATATGGAGGCACCGTAGCTGCTGGCAGGCGAGAATGCTGGACCAGAAACCATCCACACTGACGCTGATGGTAAGGGAGTGGAGGGTTTTTCCAATCACCGGTAGCCAGTCAAGACAAGAGCATAGCTGTTTTGAGGAACCTGTCAAAGACAGGGAGCGGAGATTGCTGCTGCTGCTGCTGCCAAACCAGGAAAGGAGACCCTGTTGCTCATACGATTCCAACCTGAAGTGCGTGACTAGCCTTGCCAGACGCGCCCACCTCTTGCTCACCAGGCTACAGCGATACAATTGGCGCGAGGAGACGAGCAGGGATAGGATCCGGATGAGAACGTCGTCGGGAAGATCGTCCATGGAGCACAGATTGTTGCGCCTCTTGGTGATCCTCATCTGCTCCACCAAGAAGAGCAGCTCGCTGTGCTGCATCTCGTCGGGAAGATCATCCAAGGCGCTCCTCGGCCTTTTCATCCCCAGTGTCCTACAATCTTGCCCTAAAATAATTACACCCAAGTATATGCGTAGATTCTCCAATCTTCGGCGGAGGTTCGATACCTGCTCGGCGCATCAATGTTGCCGAGATCACGACTAGCTGTTTGTCTTTGATTTTGTTTGCAAGCTAGTACCATCAATTAAAGCCTTGCATTCAAGTATTGAGAACACCACCATTGCTTCTTGCTTCGGCTCAAAGCCTCTGCCATAGGACAGTCCATACTATGATAGAAAATCTTTGTGTTCACGTATGAAAATATAAAATATACCTTTTAATATCCTTAAGATATACCTTTTGATTGAGTACGGTTTTTACCAGTGAACTCCATTAATGACCTTGCTGCAAAATGTGGCTCCAGATAATGGAGTATATTGTCTTCCTTGTAAGCCTAATCTGTCCTTCAGTCATTTTAGCCGCTAAGGCGATCAGAAAGTTGATGCTCGAGCATGGAAAACTGAAAGTTACTCACGGGACCAAGAGCTAAAACACTTACGTTTGTCAAGAGCAGCTGTTGGATCCAGTCCAAACATTTCTGTGATGGGAATGTCGATCAGGACTGCAAGCATCGTTTAGAATTCACAGCAAAGAAATTAAAGCAAAAGGAAAACGATTATACAATGCCAGCTCAGTGTCGATGTAGGCCACTTTTTACCATTATGTAAGCCCAAGTGCGGCAGTGTGCGCGAAATGAGTTTTGCCACTCCGGAATTCGCCAAAGACTTTGGTGAGTGCCATCGTTTCTATACCACCTGGTGCGAGAGAGAGAGAGAGAGAGAGGATATGGATCACGGATTTTCGCTTGTGAAGAGCCTCATTCCCAGTGATACTGGAAAGCCAGAAGAAAAATCCAGAGTTGCGATCCAAGGCACTTACCACTATCGTTTCTGCCGCTTCCAGGATCTTGTCGTCAATCCCGTTAAGCTCTGACAGATAGAAGAAAATCCGATAAGGGAAAAAGAAAAGATGGATCGATTCGCACCTTTTTTGTTTGCATGATCAGTCCATTGCATGTACGACTTCCCGCATCCTGAAGCTTTTTCACATCCCCGGCATTGATTCCCTGGGCGGTGACTGGAAGAACAAGAAATCTAGAAGGCCGAGCGATTGGCTTGCCTGTGAGCCTCTCGATCGAGGTGAACCTGCGAGTACCTCCCATTCTTGTAGTCCTTCTGTTGAGGAAGATCTTCAGCTGGCGGGAACGTGAACTTCTTGAACTTGACAGGTCTCCATACCCCTGTGCTGCTTGATCTACTCGACGTTGCACGTAGACAGCGAGAGCTCCACAAGCCCGGCACCTTGATGACTGATGGCGAGAGAAAAGGTCCGCAAGAGAATCGAGGCTGTGGCTTTTGAGCAAATACTTCCCGGGGGATTCCACCAGCAGCAGGCTCAGACGAGCGAGGGGGCACAACTCGAGGAGCTGGGCACAGACGAGATTGGTGCTGCTTCCGCCGTCGTGAGAGGGCCGCCACTTGATTTCTGTAGAAAAAAAACAGCTGGGAAACAAAAAAACTCCACTAGAGTACATCTCCGATGCTGAGATAAGAAAGTGTTGCCACCGCAAGCGCATCTGTGGAATCACGAAGAAGTTATGGGAGTTATACATGCTCACAGCTACAAGTCTAAACTTCTCCAGTAACTTCCCTGACACGGTGCTTTCAACACCAATGTTGGCCTTGATCTCAAGACTTTGCCACCTCAAATGAAAACATTGTCAAGCAGCTATGGATGCACTTGGTAACGCAACAGGGCCAAACTGGCGATATTAATCAAATGTCTCCGATCATCAAGGTATTTAATTTCTACATGGTTTCTTTTTAAGTTCTTCTTTGTCAGGGAAGAAAAAAATCCAGATAAGAGTACATCTCCTACGGTGAGACAAGAAAGAGCTGCTTCTGAAAGCACATCTATGGAATCATGAAGAAAATATGTGAGTGTACACATACTCACTAGTACAATACTTGATTTATCCTGTTACTTCCCAAAGAGTACATCCTCAACACAAAAATTGGCCTTGATCTTAAGACTTTGCCACCTTAAATGGAAACCATTGTTAAGTAGCAATTGATGCACACGTTAAAGCAAGTCAGTGATAACCAAAAGCTGGCAGATCATAACTTGAAAGGTTTAGAGCCAGAGGAGCTAAGATTCAACAAGGACTCGCTCTTGGGGCTGTGTAATTTAATCTTTTATCCAGTTTTACAGCATTCAATATCCACTTTAGTGTATATTTGAAACATATACTTCAAATATGTAGTGAAAGGTTTAAAGATGTACAGTATTATTATAAGAATTCCATTTTTCACTAAAATATAGAGATCATCGCAAGCAAATTCCAATGTAATCACTCATAATATACTTGAATGATAAAAAGGTGGCAGTGTGGGTCTTCCCTGACTTTATGTATTCTATGACAAAAATAACAACTTTTCTCTTCTACCGAATGGTAGGGCACCTGAAATACAAATGGTGTTTAAGGCACCTTTGAAAAATTGATTGATGTTTAAGGCCAGATTGAGCAAAGGTCACAGTTTGTGTTCATATCACAGACTGTTCTAAAAGTCTTACAATTTCTTTGCATTCAATCATCTTTTAGGGCTATTATTAATCACTAAAAAAATAGGATTGGGCCAATAATGTAATTTTTTTCAGTTTTGGAATATTATTTTGCATTTAGTGGCCAAATGATTTTACTTGGGTGGCACTGTTTGGTTTTGTATAGATGGATATTAAATAATCTTGCGTACTTAATGTAGCAGAAATAATATAGTGGAGGAAGTGTTTCCTCTCTGTTAGTTAATACAAAAATTAAGTTGTGTAATATTCTCATGACTTTGTCACAAAATTAGAGTACTTAGAAGTTTTGTTTTTGAGAAATGTTGCTAATTATCAATGTTTTACATTTGATTTTACCTCCATTCATATAGAGGGGATTAAAAAGTTGTAGAAGTTGCTTACACATCATAGTTTCTATATCAACTGCTATGAAAGATTCTTTGTTACCATTATTAGTTTTTTTTAATTATTCTTTAAGATAATTTAGTATGTGAGGTCCAAGTGTACAACTACAATGCCATATACTATCCAAAGGTAATAACCAAGCTATAATGAAATCAACGTAGGGACAAGTCCAAACCTTAAGAACAATGCAACAGTGTAGGCAAGCAAAGTTGCTATGGTATCACTCCAAGAGAATGTCTAGAAGGAACCACCTTTGCTAAACCTACAAGACTTTAATTCTTCCAGATTAATATTAGCATAATGGGATTTTGGTAGCTGTTAGATTGGTTTCAATCCGGACCATTTGCTCTTATATATAAACTAGGGATTTTGGGCTAATTGATATGCACATTTTTTATATTCTTTTTCCATAGTCCATGCACTCACATTGGTGGAAAAGAAGGGCACCTTTGATTGCCCTTGAGAAGTGTTTGGATTTGGGATTTTGGTTTAGATTAAACTTTTGCATCGTTTAGATCTAGCTTTTTCCATTTCCTTTCTTTTGTTCTTTCCTTTTAGGATTTTGGTTTAAATTTAACTTTTTGCATTGTCTAGATCTCCCTTTCCTTCTAGTATTTTTTTCATTTTTCTTCTTTTGCTCTTTCCTTTTCGTTCATCTTCATGACAAATCAGCAATCTCCTCCTCCTTTGACTCCAGAGTAGCAATTGGTACAATTGCTTGATGCTATGCAATTGCAATTGAACAACCAAACTCAATTAATGGCGGCATTCATGGCACGTGGTACAACTCCTCTTGCTCTTGGTGCCAATCCTCATGTTCAACCAGAGTTCTTTCGCAGGAATCTTAGGGATGATGTATACCATTTGTTCGATCACTTCACAGTGATTGCCACATATCATTCTTGGGATGATGCTTGACGTTTGCATGAGTTTCCCACGTGTCTCTAAAGGACAGTGTTGCAGTGGTACAATGGTTTGAGTGCAGCCATTCATGGGAATTGGAGTGTTCTCCCGGATGTATTCAAACGCATATTCGGATATGCCAATGATTGTGATGATGCCTTCCAACAATTGCATCATTTTTGTCAAGGGCCATCTAAGTTAGTAATGCAATTTGACATTCGTTTCTAAAGTCTTTCGCTTTGTGTGGAGCCAAATATATCAGAGCAAATCAAGCAAGGAATGTTGTGGCTAGCACTTCGTCAAAATCTTGTCGTACTTGTGCATGCACTTGCTCCCACCACCCTTGATGATGCTTTTCACTTGGCACAACATTATGAAATGTCGCCTCTTCCATTTTTCACTGCATGTCCTTCAACTCCACTTTCTGAGGGTGATGGTCCTGTTCCAATGGAGGTTGATGCTGCTACTTGTCAAAACCCCCAACAAAATCAAGACTGGAAAATGTAGAAGACAAATAGAAAAGCTAGTGGAAATGAAGAAAGGGCCTTAGACTGGCATTGATTTAGATTGTGGAGAAATGGAACAAGGCTAACCTATATATACTATAAGTTGATGAGGCTTCACCACTCTTGGATCGAGGATGACCTAAATATAGTTGAGGTCGAGGAGGCACCACGTTATTATCAAGAATGTGGTTCAAGACTCAGGAATCATATGGGAAATCAAAGAGTCAGGAATAGGGAAGTGTTTCGAGAATATGGTTTGTATGTTTGTATGTCAGGAATCCGGCGAGAGTCAGGAATGTGTCAAGAATTGGGGGATTCTTGACAACACCCCCTCCTCAAGAATGAGTGGAACAAGGATGTGAATGAGAATGAAGAGGAGGATGAGATGGGTGGCGAGGGATGGGAAAGGGAGAATGAAAAGAATGAGGACTAGGACAAGAAAGATAGCGGCGGTGGAAATCTTGAACAAGGTCAATAGAATAAATCAGGTTATTTACAGGTTCCTAAGTGCGTTCCTCAAGTTCGTAAACCTTCTAGTCTACAAGATAGTAGAGTTTAGACCATGGGATCTTGGAATCAAGAATGTCCTAAACCTCGTACT